GGACAGGGAGGTCTGGCGTGCTGTGATTCATGGGGTCTCAAAGAGTAGGACACAACTGAGCGACTGAACTGAACTGACTGAAAGCTACCTCACTTGATCAGTTTCCAGTTCCTTTAATGTACTGAGACTTTTTTTTTTTCAGCTCTGTGGCTTTATATATTCTAATTCCTTTGCTTTTTTATAAACAAACAAGCATGCCCCGTTTACTCATTCATAAATGTTCTTTTCTTATTTTTCCAGATTTACTGAGGCATAATTAACAAATAAAATTACATATATTCAAAGTGCACAATATGATGATTTGATACAGATATGCACTGTAAAACATTTATCACAATTAAGTTGATTAGCACATCCATCATATCACATATTTACCTGTGTGTTTTGTATGTGTGGTGAGAACATTTATGATCTACTTCCTTAGCTGACTTCAAGTATACAATGCAGAATTATTATCTAGTCATAATGCTGTACATTAGATCTACAGAAATTATTCATTCTATGCCTGAAAATTTGTATCCTTTGACCAATAGCTCCCCATGCACCCCCACCCCATCTCCTGGAAATAAGTATTGTATTCTCTGTTTTTATGTGTTCAACATTTTTTAAAAAAAAATTGTTTTAGCTGTCACATATAAGTGATACCAGTATTTTTCTTTCTCTGTGGGGCTTATTTCGCTTAGTATGATGCCCTAATCTATGGTGATCACATATAGCAAGATTTCCTTCTTTCCTGTGACTGAATAATACTCCCTTGTGTATGTGTGTGTTTATAGTCTTGTTTATTTTTGCTGTTTTACTTGTGTTTTTGGTATCACCCAAAAAAATTATTGTCAAAACCAATGTGAAAGGGAAACAAAACAGTCTCACAGATATAGAGAACAAACTTGGGCTTGCCACAGGGGAGCTGGAGGTGGGAGGAGAGCAGGATTTACCTGGGAATTTGGGTTTAGCAGTTGCACACAATTTTATATTGAACGAATAAACAAGGTCTTACTTTATAACATGGGAACCTATATTCAGTATCCTGTGATAAACCATAATAGAAAAAATATAAAAAATAATGTCTATATATGCATATATATATATATACACATAAATATACATATATATACACTCATTTTGGAGTACACAGAAACTAACACAGCATTGTAAATCAATCATACTTCAATTAAAAAAATTTTTTTTGAATCACAGCCTTGAAGAATTTTATCCTACATTAGCTTCTAGAAGTTTTACAATTTGTGGTCATGTATTTATATCTTTAATTCATTTTGAGTTAAATTTTGTGAGTGATGCAACATTAGTATCCAGTTTTACTATCTTGCCTGTGTCTACCCTTTTCCCAACATCATTTTTTAATTAGTGTCTTCTCCCTACTGGTACCCTTGTTGACCACATAAGGGAAGGTTTATTTCTTGGCTCTCTCATCTGTTTCACTGATCCATGTGTTTGTTTTTATGCAATTCTATAAACACCATATTACTTTGATAACTATTTTTTTATAGTTCAAAGTCAGGAATTGTGGTCTCCAGCTTTGACCTTCTTGCTTGAGATTGCTTCAGCTCTTCAGGCCTTTTGTGGTTCCATAAAATTTTGGGATGACTGTTTCTGAAAAATATCTTTAGAATTTTGATAGGCATTCCTTTGAATCTGCAGCTGGCTTTGGAAAAATTTTGATATTCCTTAGAAACATCTTTATAAAGAAAAAAATATACTGCACATTTTATTTATTTCATTTAAAGTTTTGTACCACATTAGAGAATTCAAAAGAAATTGCCATTTTCTAGTTTCCAGAAACAATATTTAATATGTACTATATATTATTTCTTAGACTAAAATTTTAATTTTTTGTAATTGATATGGCTGGGAAGACTTCTGACAAAAATAATAAAGAAAACAAAGCCACAGCCTCCTGCCTCCTAGATTTCAGGCATGTATCAATAGGACCTCATAGGAAAGAGCAGAGAAATTACTTTGTTTCGGATCTTCTTGGTCTTTACTCCATAGACGATAGGGTTGAGGGCAGGTGGGATAATGACATAGAGGTTGGCAAACACAATGTGAAAGTTCCGAGGGACATTATGTCCAAAGCGATGTGCAAGGATGGAGAAGAACGCTGGTATATAGAACATGAGGATGACACAGATGTGGGAACCACAGGTCCCCAGGGCCTGCTGGCGAGCATCCTGAGAAGGGAGGTGAAAGACAGCACAGAGGATGAGGATGTAGGAAATAGCAATTAGAATCACATCTGAGATGACGGCCATAATGGGAACACAAAACCCATACCAGATATTGATGGAGATGTCAGCACAGGCTAGTCGGGCAACACCTATGTGCTCACAGTATGTGTGAGGGATGTTATGTGTCCTGCACAAGGGTAGATGATTTACAAGGAAAACACATGGGAAAATAACACAGAAGCTTCTGAAGGAGATGTCCACAGCAGTTGTGACAATGGTCCTGGGGGTCAGAATAGTGGTGTATCTCAAGGGTGAACAGATGGCCACATAGTGGTCAAATGCCATGGCCACCAGTATAGATGAGTCCAGAACAAAGCTGTAGTGCAGAAAGAATAATTGTGTGAGACAGCCGGGAAAGCTGATTTCCTGAGGACCAAACCAGAAGATGCTCAGAGCTTTTGGGACACAGGTGGTAGATAGTATGAGGTCAGTAATAACCAGCATGAAAAGAAAAAAGAACATGGGTGCATGAAGACTGTGCTTTATTGCAATGAGAAGTATACTA